ACCACGGGATTAGACTGTAGGGAGCAAAGGGCAAGAGCAGGGAGGCACCGAGGCCGCTGTGGAGGCGAGAAAGAGTTGGATTCTGGGTATAGTATTTTGAAGGTGGAGCCAACAGGACTTGCCAAGAGATCAGATAGAGGTTGGGAAAGAGAGGAAGGAGTGGAGGGTAATGCCACATATTTTGACCTGAGCAACCAGAATGACGGCGTTGCCTGGTGGGTGGGCAGGAACTCCATGTTGGACACCTGCGTCACGTGTTCGTTAGACATCCACGTGGAGATGTCGAGTACAAACCCTGGGTTCAGGGAGAGGTCCCTGTGAGATACACATTTGGAGGCTAAGGTAGGCAGCCCCCAAGATCCCATCCCCTGGTGTTCCCACCCTTGTGTCAGCCCCTCTGCCTTTGCGTCCAGGTTGCTGTATGACCAACAGAACACGCTAGGTCAGCTGACATGCTGGCTTCTGCCGGCTCTCGGATCACTCACTCAGGAAAGTCGGCTGCCACACCGTGGACACACACAGCCCTGTGGCGGCCCCTGTGCGAGGAACTGGGGCGTCCTGCCAGTTGCCATGTGCATGTGTATGCTAGTCGTGCTCTTTATTTTCTGTATCTTAGGATGTTTTGATATCTTTAAAATCTTGCTGACCGGGGAGAGACTGCCCTTCCCAGAGGGAGCCAATTCTTAGAGGTAGATAGCAAAGGGCTACCGGCCCACCTTCCACATGCCAACCAGCCAATCCCAAGTCCACACCCCCACCCACACCCTTCATGTACCTCTCACACATCAAGCTGCCCTAACTCACCTGGGACTACGCACCAGACAACTGGAGACCACTCCTCTAGCCCAGCGCCGGCTGACATTATCCAAACCAGCCAGTTCTAAGCTGTTGCCCTGCCCTGCCTTGTCTTTCGGAAACCCCAGTAAAGGCTCTGGTCTAGTCCCATGACACCTCACCCCCCGCCACCTCCTTCTGCTTCTGCACAAACCTTGTGCTTCCCCATGTGGTCTTGTGTGGCACGGTGGGCCCCCTTCTCTTGGAAAATGTAATAAAAATATTCCTTCAATGGCATTGGATTCTCTGTGTCTTCACTCAATCACCTCCATAAATTAAAATCCACAAGTACAGCCATGCATGCCCGGCTGGTGTGACTCAGTGTTGAGTCGACCTATGAGCCAGGTCATGATTCGATTTCTGGTTAGAGCACATGCCCAGGGTTTCTGGCTCCATCCCCAGTAGGGGGCATGCAGGAGGCAGCCAATCAATGATTCTCTCTCATCATTGATGTTTCTATCTCTCTTTCCCTCTTTCTTCCTCTCTGAAATCAATTAAAACAATTTTAAAGCTACAGGGACATTTTGAGGCAGAGCCATCCCAGAAGTGGCTCCTCCCGCCCAGCAGAGCGTTCAGCCGACATCGTGACCATGACCTCAGCAGAGACCCTGCGCGGCCAGAACGGCCCAGCTAAGCTGCTCCCAGTTCCTGACCCACAGAAACTGAATTGATATGTTTGCTGTTTTAAGCTGCTGAATTTGGGGACAATTTGTCACATGGCAATAGATAACACAGGAGTCCACAGCATGGAGGGTCTTACCATGAGGCTGATGGGATCACCAAGGAGAGAGGCAATCGAAGGCCCATGCACAAGAATTCCCACAAAGCAGTGGCCAGGGAGGTAGAGGAAAGCGAGGTGGGTGGGGAAGAGTGGGTTTTGAGGACAGAATGATGGGCCAGGCTGAAGCCTATCGCTACCTCACATGTGATGAGGCCTGAGCTTCCGGCACTGGATTTCAGCCGTGGAGGCTGCTGGTGACAAGAGTGGCTTCAGCGGAGAGGTGGGGGCAGCAGCTGGACTGGAGTGTGTCCGAGAGTGAATGGGAGGAGAGGAATTGGGAATAGCAGGGAGACACAAGTCTCAAGGCTGTCAGGGAAGAGGAGTGTGGCTGGTGGCTGGGAAGGGAAGTGGGCTTGAGAGGGTTTTTTGAAGATGGGAGAAATGACAGCACATTTGTATGCTGCCGGCCTTGATCCAGTAAAGAGGGGAACTGATGATGCCGAGGCAAGGAGAGAACTGCTGGGGGGTGTCCCGGGGAAGATGAGAGGGGAGGAGATGGGGCCAGATGGGGCCTTAGCTAGGAGCCTGGACCTTCACCTTCATGGAGTAACTCCCAGGGCCGTGGAGAAAGTAGGCGGCAGCTAGATGTGGAAGGGGTCTCTGCACTTGTTCAGGGGAGTAGAAGCAAAGTCATCAGCCAACAGTGAGGATGGGAGGAGGGCTGGCTGGCAGGGAGAGGAAAGGTCCGAACAGGCTAGGAGGGCAGGGGCAGGAACGGTCTGGCAATGGAGGAGTGGGGCTGGCAGCACCCGAGGCCCCGGACATAGTGGGAGACCCGTCAGCAATCCAGGCTCGTTCAGCTGCATTCTCCTCGCTTCTCTCTCCCCGTTTCTTCTTGCTTTACTGCCTTTGCCTCTCCCCATATCCTCTCGCTGTGCCCCTTCCCACTCCTTTCCCCGGCATCCTCGTTGCTGCCTCTGCCCTCCTCATGCCTGTGGATTCTCCCCCCAAAATGCTCTCTCCTCTTTTCAACCTCCTCTACCCCTGAACTCTCCCAGACCCCCTCACCTCCCTGGCTCCCCGGCCCCTCCTCGCAGCCTGTTTCCCTCCAGTGTGGCTCCCAGTGCTACAGTCTTCATGCCCCTCCAACCTGGACACCACTGCTACCCCACACCCTTTGCCAACCTCCTCACCTCTTCGGACTCTGCTGACCTCCGCGTGGACCATATAAACTCCATGACGGCCACGAAGACAGCAATGATGAGGCCACAGATAAGCACAACAAAGATGCCGCCAATGTTCTCCATGCCCAGACCTGGGGGTCGGGGGAGAGCCAGGGGTTGAACTGTGCGGGCACGCGGCTGTGAAGGGTCTCCCAGGGGGCACGCATGCAGGTGGCTGACCTTTAGCGCGACGGTCCTCCTCCTTGGGACACCGGCTCCCCTCCCACCACTTGCGCTTCAGGATCTCCAGCCGGTTGTTCTCTTGGAGCTGCAGGATGGCCAGTGTGATCTCGTCCCGGAACGGCGAGCCTGGGCGGCACATGGGGCAAGCAGCCATGGGGCCCGAGCCCTGCCCACCAGACCCCCACTGCTCCCTGTCTCCACCAGGTCCCCAGGGTCTGCCCTGTACACCTTTGAGTCTGACCACTTCTCCCCTGCAACCATGCCTAGCCACGCCCACTGCACCCCAGGTCAGATTGGCCGTGGTCCCTCCCTGCAGCCCCCTCTCATCCCCAACCAGGCTCTTCTTCACACAGCAGCCAGAGGAACAATTTCAGAAACAGAGACCATGCCTCCCTCATACTTAAAACTCTCCAGTGGCTTCCTGGTGCTGTGAGGACAAAGTCCTCTCCTGGCCTACACGGTCTAGCCCAGTGGTTCTCAACCTTCTGGCCCTTTAAATACAGTTCCTCATGTTGTGACCCAACCATAAAATTATTTTCGTTGCTACTTCATAACTGTAATGTTGCTACTGTTATGAATCGTCATGTAAATATCTGATATGCAGGATGGTCTTAGGCGACCCCTGTGAAAGAGTCGTTTGACCGCCAAAGGGGTCGCGACCCACAAGTTGAGAACTGCTGGTCTAGCCGCTGGCCAGGCCACTGGGGCTCCACCGCCCCACAGCCCTCAGCTCTAGCCACACTGGCCTCCTGGCTAGTCCTCCAGGAGGCCCCCCTCACCCCCCCCCCACCCCCCGGGAGCTTTCCCTCTGCCTGGGATGTTCCTTCTCTCAGTTCACTGAGGGCTCTGCTCATGTGGTGCCTCCTCAGGGGGTCTTCTCTAACGGACTTTATTTAAAATGACACAAAGCGCTCTACTCCGTCAGGTCTTCCCCTTAATTTACTTCAGAGCAGTTGTCACCACCTGACATCACATTATAAAGCTGTGTTCACTGTCGGTTTGCTGTCTGTGCCCCTAGCAGAGGACAGGAGGGCGGAGCTTGCCAGCTCCGTTGTCCCAGCATCCAGCATCCAGCATCCAGCATCCAGCACACGGCCGGGCAAAAGACCCCCAGCCACACCTCTCCTCTGCATGGCCCAACCCTGGTCCACCTGTCTCCTTCAACCACTCCACGCCTACCCTCTCCTGTACTCATTTCTTCATTCACTGCAATACGTCTTGAGCATCGACCAGTGCCAGGAACTCGGCATATGGGCGAATGGGCTGCTTAGCATTTATCAGGCACCTACTATGTGCTGGAACCTTGGTTTATAGAATTGTATTCACGCCTCACAGTGATCCTGTGAGGCAGGTATTACCAGCCCCAGGTGACACTGAAGCTGAGTTGGGGGGCAGAGGGAGCAGGCATTTGAATCCAGGTCAGTGACTCCAGAGCCTGTCCCTGCAAAGCACCAGGCCACACTGCTTGCCTGGCACAGTACCGACGCTGCTGCGAAGCAGCTAAGATTTGGGGTAAACAGTAATATCTGACTATCGCAGCAGTCATCAGCATATGAAGAGGTTTAAAAGCTAAAATGCCCAAATTTGGTGGCAATATTGGTGGTGAGCTTCCAGCACTGAGCCCTGGAAAAGCATGTCTAAGTCTTGCTGGCCGATCCACCCATTCTTCTATCCTCCCTCCGCCCCTCCACCCAGCCAGCAGTATCCATCAGCCATTTTCTGAGCACCTATTCTGAGCCAGGCTGTGGGTTTGGTGCAGAGAATCTGAAGTAATGAAACCAGGTCCTCACCCTCGAGGGGCCCTGGAGCCATGTGGGAAGGCGCCAACCTCCTGCCATGTGCTGACCTGCACAGTCTCCCGCACTCCCAGCAGCCCTGTGGGGCTGGAACGGATTGCTCCGAGGCCCGTTTTCACAGGTTGAGGGCGCAGAGGCTCAGGAAGGTGACGTCACCTGCCCAAGGCCCCACAGCCAGGAGGCCCCGCGGCAGACCCAGCCTGTCCCCGGCCTGCTTGCCAAGCCCCCAGTCCTGCCACCACATACCTAGCGGCATGCCGATGCCGTAGCCCTTGGTGTCAAGGAGGCCCCCAATCTGGGTGAGGTTGCAGTTGAGGCGCCGGTGGTACTCGTTCATGGTGGACTCGAGCAGGAAGGCATAGCGAGAGTTGAGGACGCGGGCAATGCCCTCCTCTGTGCTCTTGACAAACACGCTGGGCTGCTTCGACTGCATGTAGTTCCACATGCGCTGGTACGTCTGGTACCGTGAATTCTGGACAGAGTGGCACAAGGGGGAGAGGTGAGGGGCTTTCCACCCGCTGCCCTTCCCCTGAACCCTGTCCCCTGCCCTCCAGCAAGTCTCCCTCAACCCAAGAGAGAGCGAGGAGAGCAGAGGAAGACAGAGGAGAAACCAGATGGACAGACTGCTCAAGGTGCGATCCAAGACACCCCACACCCCCCAGCCAGTGAGACCCCAAGGACCAAAGACTTGGGAAGAAGGGGTCACGGTCTAGTTTTCAACACCTGGCTTCCCAGTGCTCCCAGGCCTTACTCATAGAACCCGGGAGTAGATGCTCAACCCTCAACTCTACCGGGGGCCCAGTGGTTCAGGAAGACCTGAGCCCATGCTGAATAGGACAGCTTACTTCCTATAGAACCCGCGGGAACCTTTTGGGAATGACTACTCCTGCCCTGACCACCTGATGCCCGCCCTCCTGCACCCACGTCTCCCTCTTTGATCTGAGGTCCAGACTCTGCTCTTCCTTGGTACCCCACAGACCCTGCCCTGTGGCTCGGCAACCTCCCAACCCTATTCCAATGGCCTCCCACCTGGGGGAGCTGGTCCCGCCACCCACCTGAGAAACCTGGGAACTCACCCCCCTCCTTCTCAGCTGCTTACCCCTTCAGCCAGCGGCCACTGCCCAACTCCAGCCTTCTCTCCAGCCCACTTGTCTACCCACAACTGCCCCAGAGGGAATGTCCAGCTTTTAAAGGAGTCACCCCTCAACCGTTCCCACATCCCCACTCACAGGGTCCAATCTCAGCCCTACCCTGGCATTCAAGGCCTCTGCAGTCTCTCACCCAAACCTCCTTGCTAGGCTTGCTTTACTTTTGATTTCTTCCCACTACCCAAGACGCACTGGACAAGCTCCCTTCTCCTTGAAGGGCCTTCCCTCTTCGCTGGCCCATTTCACCAGGCCTGACCCTCGCAGCCTCCAGGACCCCATTGGCCTGTCCGGCACTGATGTGGCACTGGATCCCACACCTGCTTCCTTTCCCCTATTCCTTGGGTGAAAGTCCAGTTTCCCCAGCCAGACAGCAGACTCCTCACGAGAGCACGAGCGTGTCCTCTGCTCCCTGGCCTCCCAGACTTTCAGGACATTCACGTCCTCTGACCCAGGAGGCCCCGCCCAGCCCCACTCTGAGCTGCTATGCATGGTGGGGACCCCGACACCAAGCCCAGACAGCTTCGGGGGCCCACCTGGAAGAAGGTCATGGTGGAGCCAGCGTGGATGGTGCCATACTCAATGTTGGTCTGGTCTGCCAGGTCGTCAGCCGACTCCACAGGCACCTCCATGCGCTGCACGGTGAGGAAGGCGGCCAGGTTGGCGGTGTAGGAGGAGATGATGATCAAGGTGAAGGCCCACCTGAGGGGTGGGAGGGGTGAGCTACAAGCTGGAGTCACCCTGCCACCCTGCCCGTGGCCGTGGGCCCCATTGGTGGTGCCCCTCAAGGACCTGACAGCTAGAAGGCTCAGTGACTGCTGATTAGTGGGAGACTGGGGGCCTAGATTCTGGAGCCAGACTCTCTGGGTTTAAATATCACTTCCAGAGAGTTCCATTTCCAGATTCAGGAGAATAAGGTGGTCTGGGAGTATTCTCCCACCAAGAAAAACTAGAAAACTAGACAGAGACAGAATATAGAAAAACAATTAAATACATAGGACAACAGGACTGTGATCCCTGAGGGAAAATAAATAAATGAAGCGAGCCTTGGCATTGCCAAGGCTGCGGGTGGATTTAATCACAGACTGCAGTGCCAGGCAGGAAGGAAAGCCCAGTCTGGCAGTCTCGCTGAACTGTGGAGATGGAGATCAGAATTCAAGACGGCTGGGATTTGCGGGATAGAGTGCCCAAGGGGAGAGCTGCACAGAGAGGGCTCCAGAAGTCTCACTGGGTCCCCTTGAGTCTTTGGCTGAATATCAGTCTGTTCGCACAGGGTGAAATTCCAGACAGAACAACTTTCAAAGAGAGAACAATTCCCAGGGCTGCAAATCTTTTGAGCTCCCTCCAGCCAGAGTCGAGAGATCTCACTGGATTCATGAGACATTCAGAAGAGACCCCAAAGGACAACACATTAGAAATAGAGTCAGCTTAGCCCTAGAATAGAGGCCACGCTAAACCTGCACCAAAAGAACAGGCCTGGAAAGGATAAAAATAATCTAGAAGTAACCTAACTGCCTGCCAGAAAAAGTCTAAGACTTGTTTGAAGCGTACTTTCAACAATGTAAACAGTGTGAAATTCACAACGTGTGTTATCCAATAAAAAAATTACCAAATAGCCGTGGCTGGGTCGCTCAGTTGGAGCGTCATCTCATGCACCAAAAGGTTACAGGTTTGCTCCTTGGTCGGGGTGCATATGGGGCAACCGATTGATGTTTCTCTCTCATATCAATGTTTCTCTCTCTCTCTCTCTCTCTCCCCTTCCTTCCTCTCTCTCTAAAGTCAATAAACATAACCTTGGGTGAGGCTTTAAAAAAATTACCAGATATACAAAAGCAAAGGAAACTGTAACCAAACCAAGAGTCAAATCACTCAATTGAAAAAACCCAGAGTTGACAGAGGGGACAAGGACATTAAACAGCTATTATAAACATGATCAGAATGCTCAAGGATATGAATACAAACATGAGCATAATGCAGAGGAAGGTGGAAGATATAAGACAGAAGTGAGAGGAACGTCTAGAAATGAAATATACGACACCAAAGAGGAAAATTTTACTGGAAGGGATTACACAGATCAGACACTGCAGTAGAACGGAACAGGGAATTGGGAGAAAGTGAAAGGATCTATCCAAAACAAAGCACAGAAAGGAAAAAATGACTGACCAATAGCACGGAGCCTGAGTGGCCTGAGGAATAATATCAAGTGATCTTACATGTGTGGCTGGAGTCCCAGAAAGAGGAGAGACAAGGAATAACAGAAAAATATATATTTGAAGAAGTAATGGCCAATTTTTTTTTTCAAATTTGATAAAAACAAAGGTGCAGATTCAAGAAGCTCAATAAATCCTAGTAGAATAAACAGACATACACACAAAACACATCAAGGCACATTATAACCAATTGCTGAAAACCAGTGATAAAGAGAAAATCTAAAAAGCAGCCATGAGTGGGGAAATATATTACACACAGAGAATCAAAGATAAGAGTGACAGGCTTCTTGTCAGGAAGTGTGCAAGCCAGAAGGCAATGCCACAACATGCTGAAAGGAAAAAGCAACCTACCAACCCAGAATTCCACATTCAGAAAAAAGACCCTTCAAAGAATAAAACACACTAATGAATTTTTCATGCAAACAAAAGCTTGGAGAACTAATTGCTAGCAGACCTGCACTTTAAGAAATGTTAAAGGAAGTTCTTCAGGTAAAAGGAAAATATAGATGGAAATTTGGAAGTACATAAAGGCATGAAGAGCTTCAGAAATGGTAGATGTGTGGGTAAATATAAAAGACATATTCCTCATTTTTAAAATTTCTCTAAAAGACATTTACGGTTAAAGTAAACACACACACAGCGAATGTACTGTGGGGTTCGCAAAATAAGCAGAAGTAAAAACATAACAACGGGAGCTCAGAGGACGAGAGGGAGCTGTGGAAGCACATTGTTGTAAGGGTCTGACATCTTCTGTGAAGTGGTATAATGTTACCTGATAGTACTTTGTAATAATAAAAGATGCATATATGCCCTAACCGGTTTGGCTCAGTGGATAGAGCGTCGGCCTGCGGACTGAAAGGTCCCAGGTTCGATTCCGGTCAAAGGCATGTACCTTGGTTGCGGGCACATCCCAAGTAGGGAGTGTGCAGGAGGCAGCTGATCGATGTTTCTCTCTCATCAACGTTTCTAACTCTATATCCCTCTCCCTTCCTCTCTGTAAAAAATCAATAAAATATATTTAAAAAAAAAAGATGCATATAAAAAAATAAAACAGCCGAAACCGGTTTGGCTCAGTGGATAGAGCGTCGGCCTGCGGACTGAAGGGTCCCAGGTTCAATTCCGGTCAAGGGCATGTACCTTGGTTGCGGGCACATCCCCAGTAGGGGGTGTGCAGGAGGCAGCTGATCGATGTTTCTCTCTCATTGATGTTTCTCACTCTCTATCTCTCTCCCTTCCTCTCTGTAAAAAATCAATAAAAAAAATATATTTAAAAATAAAATAAAATAAAATAAAACAAAGAAGTATAGTAAGTCAAGAGCAGGCATACAGCAGAATTTTAAAAATCTCAATAAATCCAAAAACAGGGAGGAAAAAGAGAGAATTGGGAACAAAGAACAGATGGGACAAAATAGAAGAAAAACAGTAAGCTGGCAGATTTAAACCTGACCATACCAACAATTACAAGAAAGGTCTCAATCAGGGGTTGGCAAGCTATGGCCCACAGGCCAAATCTGGCTTGCCATCTGTTTTGGTACACAGGCTAAGAATAGTTTTCACATTTTAAAATAATTTAAAAGAAAGCAAAAGAAGGGTCATATATCATGACACATGACACATAAAGTCCAAATTGTAGTGTCAGTGTCCATAAATAAAGATTTATTGGAACACAGCCACACTCACTCATTTGTGTATTGTCTAAGGCTGCTTTCACACTGCAATCAGAGTTGAGTAGTTACGACAGAGACTGCATGGCCAGCAAAGCCTAAAATATTTACTATTTGGCCTGATAAAGAAAAAGTTTGCCAATTCCTGCTTCAAGGCCTAAATATAATACATAAGGAGGTTGGAAGTGACAGGATGGGGGAAAGATATACTCTGCAAACACTAAGCATAAGAAAGCATAGCTATATCAATATTAAAGGTAACTTCAGAACAAGGACCGTTACCAGGAATAAACAGGGACATTATAATGAGAAAGAGATCAATTCATCAAGAAGACATAACAATCCTAAACACTTACACATCTACTTATAGAGCTTCAAAATTCACGAGGCAAAAACTGATGCAACTAAAAGGAAAAATAGATACAATTTCTCCACAATTACAGGTGGAGATTTCAACACGCCTCTCTCAATAATTGCTAGAACAAGTAGACAGAAAATCAGCAAGGATGCAGACGACTTGAATAATGCTATCAGCCTACTGGCCCTGATGGCCATTTACCTTCTATGCAAGTGCACAGAGAATAGCTATCAGGAAAGAACGTATTCAGAGCCACAAAACAAGTCTCAATAAATTTTAAAGGATTAAAATCCTACAGAGAATATTCTCTGACCACAATGGAACTAAACTAGAAATCAATAATAGGTCTCTGGAAAATCCCCAAAGCTGGCTCCATCACTGCCTAGCTGCGTGACCTGGGATCACCAGTGAGGTAAGTACAATTGTGGGCCCCTCCTCACAGGGCTGTTGAGTTACATCTGTGCGAGTGCCCACGGGGCCCAAGGGCAGTCAGTCTTTCTTACCTGGCCCTCTCTGTCCTACTACCTGGGAGAGAGGCCAGGCTTCCTGCAGATGGTACAGCTCTGAGAGGGCCTTCCAGGCCACACCTCCTCCAGCAGCCCTGGCCCTAGGTTGCTGGTCTGATTCCAGGTCAGGGCACATGCCCTGGTTGTGGGCTCGATGCCCCCACCCCTGTAGAAGGCAGCAAATCGATGTTGCACTCTCGCATCATGTTTCTCCCTCTCCCTTCCTCTCTCTAAAAATCAATAAACTATTCTTTTTAAAAAAGTAATGAAAACAGCAGCTGCCCTTTGCTGAGCACACATGCACAGCACTGTGCAAGGCACTGGGGTGGGGTGGAGAGGAGGATAAGAGAGGAATAATACAGCCTCCTGCAAACCAAAACCAAAACCCAATACACACAGACCCAGTCTGATACCTCCTCTCCGGGAACCAAGTCTCTCCGAACACACCCCACCGGGCAATGTTGTCATTCACATAAGACAAAATTATTTAGTGCCCGGCCGACACCAGGACCACCTAGACCAGTGATGGCGAACCTATGACACGCGTGTCAGAGGTGACACGCGAACTCATTTTTTTGGTTGATTTTTCTTTGTTAAGTGGCATTTAAATATATAAAATAAATATCAAAAATATAAATCTTTGTTTTACTATGGTTGCAAATATCAAAAAATTTCTATATGTGACACAGCATCAGAATTAAGTTAGGGTTTTTTAAAATGCTGACACGCCGAGCTCAAAAGGTTCGCCATCACTGACCTAGACCCTGAAAATACAGCGTGGCTGACTGGTGGTGGGATGGGGGTGGGTGAGAAGAAGGGGCCACTCACCGTGACAGAGCAGAGGAGCCAATGGGGAGTTTGATTTCAGAGTAAGGATGTAAGCTCCGTTTTGGACAAGTTGAGTTTAAGGAGGCCATCGGGCACCCAAGCAGGGTGGGTAATATGGCCCCGGAAGCACAGGGCAGTGGGCCCCCCTCAGAAGCTGCCTGTTTAGGTGTGGAGCACTCTGATGGTCGAAATGACGGAGGGGGCCTCTGGTGTCAGGTGTCTGACAATGCAGCCCAGTCTCCACAACAGGGAAAATCCGGACCGTGATTATCTGAGCCTATCTCCTCGGTACATAAAAACCAAAGTATTTTTACATGGTTACAATAGAAACTAAAATTTCTAAATTTAAAAAAAATCCTCACTCAAGGATATTTTTCCATTGATTCTTTTGAGAGTGGAAAGGAAGGGGAGAGACAGAGAGAGAGAGAAACATCGACTGGTTGCCTCCCACATGAGCCCCAACCAAGGCACGTGCCCTTGACCAGAATCGAACCCAGGACCATACAGTTCATGGGCTATGCTCTATCCACTGAGCCAAACCGGCTAGGGCAGTGGTTAGCAAACTGCGGCTCGTGAGCCACATGCGGCTCTTTGTCACCTTGAGTGTGGCTCTTCCAAAAAATACCGGCTCTTCCACAAAATACCAACTCCTGCACATGAGCCACGAAGTTTCAATCGCACTGTATGTGCGCGCCCGCACATGGTATTTTGTGGAAGAGCCACACTCAAGGGGCCAAAGAGCCGCATGTGGCTCCCGAGCCGCGGTTTGCCGACCATGGGGCTAGGGTAAAACTGAAATTCCTAGAAATGCACCTATTACTTAGATTGAGGAAGAACTCGGTGCTGCTTTGTTTGAAACTTTGCCAAGAACTGCTCACCATTTTGGGAAATTGCATCTCTGACAGCACAGCCCTGCTCGTGGTACCTGAGTCCCCAAGTCAAGACACTAGGACCAGCTGCATCCATAAACCGCCACCTTCACCTTTATGTTCGTACAAACGCACACATTCACCGACTATTTCAGTGTCGTCTCAGGTGTTGAAATAATTCTATTAAACGGCCTCACTTCCTGTGACTACACATTCGCATTACACGCAGGCACCTGACTGTTGCAGCCAGTCTTCTAGCATCGTCCCACCCAGCTATTATGCTTCACTAGCCAGCTGTTTTATCATAAATCACTTCCCTTTTCTCCTTCTGTATTACAATTAGGGCGTTTTATTGCTTTGTTTTAAATCACATGTATAGGTAGGTAGATTACCCTTGAAATTCATCGGGGTGGAAAAGGGGATGTCACAGAACATTTGTTGTAAACAGGGCATCACTGATGTGGAGGGAGGAAATCCATGAGATGCAAGGGTGAAATGAAACAGGATCCAGAGACACAGGTGGAAACTGGGAGGAATCAGCAGAGGGTTTCTAGGAGGAAGGTGGGAACAGGGGGTATTGGACATATCAATAAAGGGGTCCCGTGTGACCCCAGTGGAGATCCAGATACTGGCTAGATCTGAGGTTTGGGGGCTTCTTGCCAAGAGGGCGTGAGGAAAGGGCAACTGGACCTGAGGAGGAGCTGAGGACAGTGGCAAAGGAGCAGCCAAAGACACGCCTGGGAGCCTGCCTAGGGGAACTGATGAGAAAGTAGGAAAGAGGAAGGTCCAAGGACTCATGTCCTGGAGTGACCGCGGGAGAGCCTGACCACTGACTTAGCTCAGAAACTGACTTCCACGGGGAGCTGTGCCGAACACTGACCAGCCCTTGGTGTGGCTGTAGGTGGCTGTGGCCCCACTGGACACTGGTGAGGAGGAGCCCCGGCAGCGGGTCCTGGCCCGGTTGCTGCTGTTGAGGTGGCAGCCAAGTCTGACAGGGTACTGGCACCTGCACCCACCACCCCACCACTGGCCCTGACCTGCCCAGCCATCGGGCCAGGGTCACTTTTGAGGATAATAACCACCTGTGGAAACATCTTTTGAACGAGTCAATGTGTGGGAAGACTCAGGGTGAAATGAGAGTGAGCCAGGTCAAAGGCTCCAGGGAGGGAGGATGTGACTGGGGGTTTCCTGGTGACAGCGATGGCAGGGGCAGGGACTGCCCAACTGGGGAAGCCAAAATGGCCTGCAAAGAGGAGGTCCCTGATTCCCAGCCACCTCCTCACACACGTGCCTCCCCAGGCCTGTCTGGAGTGCACCTCCTCTCTGTGGCACGGATGCCTGTTTCAGCCTTTAGGACTCAGCCTGTCACCTCCTCAGAGGGGCCTCCCCAAGCACCCCATTCTCTACTGCTCTCTCCCTGCGTCGGGTTTGGTTCCTCACTACCACTGTATGTGCATCTCATACGTCATTACACTGAAAGTACTAATGACTTTCACTTGGGGTGCACTGTAGGCAGAAGGAAGCCCTCCTCACAAGATGTCTACACCCCAATCCCTAGAGCTTGTATGTTCCCTCACAGTGTAAATGGGTCTTTGCAGATGATGAAGTTAAGGGGATTGAGATGAGGACATAACCCTGGATTGGCCGGGTGGGCCCAGTGAAATCAGTGTCAGGAGGAAGTCAGAGACAAAAAGAGAGACTTGAAGATGTTTGCTCTGGCTTTGAAGATGGAGGCAGGGGTCATGGGCCAAAGCATGCAGGTGGCTCCTAAACACTAGAAAAGGCAAGGAGATGGGCTCTCCCGGAGCCCACAATGGTTCTCAACCTCCCTAATGCCGCGACCCTTTAATACAGTTCCTCATGGTGTGGTGACCCCCAACCATAAAATTATTTTCGTTGCTACTTCATAACTGTAATTTTGCTACTATTATGAATCGTAATGTAAATATCTGATATGCAGGATGTATTTTCATTGTTCTCGACCCACAGGTTGAGAACCACTGCAAAGAATCGGCCTGCAGACACCTTGATTTTAGTCAGTGAGATCCATTTCAAACTGCTGACCTCCAGACCTTACGTTGCTTTAAGCCATTAAATTTGTGATTTTTGCAGGAGCACTAGGAAACAAATACAGAGTAGAAGACTTGAAATGAAGCAAATCCCAAAAGGCTGGGAAAAGCCATCAGTACTCAAAAGTTTCGAAGCCAGTGGACCAAGTGAATGGCAAACAAGGCCATCTGGTAGTTAGTCCCTCTTAGTTGGGAGAGAGAAACACCTGCTATCATTACAGTTAGTCTTGAATTAAACAAGTTGGGAATTAGACAATATCTTTGGCACATACGCTTGGCATGAAATATGACGTCCCTGTGTTTATGTATCTGTTCACTTGTTTATTCTCGGCTCCTCTGCCTCTCGAGGGCTGATTCTTCACCCGAGTGCCTGACCGAGTGACTGTTTGTGCAGGAATTCTGACTGAGAGGAGGCGAGAAAGGGGTGCTCCGTGAGAAGGCCTGATGCCTGGGACTGCCCTGGAGGAGTCACCAGGGGCCTAGAGAGCAGGGCTGGGGCTGGCTGGTGTGAGTGGCACTGGGGCCAGCTTGGCCCTGCCAGCCCTGCCTCTAGCCGAATGCATGCTCTGTAGTAAATCACTCCTTCTCTCTGGGTCTCTTCTAACAAGCCAGGAGAACATACTCTTCCGTAAGCATTCTCCTCGGGTTTCTGTGGGTCTAATGAGGGAAAGGAGGTGAGAAGCGTTATATGATCTGCAATAAAGTCCAGGTGCTACTTGGAAGACGGGGAGCAAACTCGAGTGCTTATGGAGGCCAGGCCAGACGTGACTGGAGGGGGAGAGGGGACGAGGCCGAAGGAACAGACAGCAACGCCAGGTGGAGATGCCAGCTGAGCGCCACCAGAGCTGAATTTTCTAGAAGAGAAATCTGGATTTGTGAGTGAGTTTGCCCAATGTTTACATGTTGCCAACTAATTTTTTAAAAATTTAAACTGTGGGCCAGACACCATAGTTGGTGCCTGCTCTGACATGTAGCTTCTCAAAGCTTGTCCAAGCTACCTGGTCCCCATAGGACTTGAGGGACCAAGTGTCCCTGTCTGGGCCTTGGCCTCAGGATAGTGAAGGATGTCCTGGCTCAAGGATTCTGTCTCTGTGATCCCCAGAGCAACGTCTGAGACAGCGACAGCACTGGTACCACTCTGATCATCAGCAGAAGCACTTTTCTGTAATAGCCTCACTGAATCCTTACACCCTGAGCCATGGGCGTTCTTATCCCCATTTTCCAGATGAGGAGACTGAGGCATGCAGAGGAAATATGGCCTATCCAAGGTCACACAGTTAGTGAGTAGCAGAGCTGGGGCTCAGCTCTCCCCACCCCATTCCCTGGCACACAGCTGGCAGTGGGGACCAGGGATCCAACCAGGCCTCAGAGTGACCCCTCCCAGTCCCAGGCGGCAGACAGAAAGCCTCTCACCAAACTCCGCTGACGCAGCGAGTGGACAGCGCCCGGGGCATGATCTCTGAGCCCTGCTGCATGAAGCCCCCGACGGGGAACCAGAGGCTGTTGCCCAGCGTGTACTGGTTCTCTAGGATGTGGGGGCGCGCCCGCAGGCATGGGTGTGGGTTATACCACTCGTAGGGGCTCAGCCTGCAGAGAGAGAGACGTGGTGGGGGCATATGAAGGGGGCCGAGGGGGGGGGGGGAGAAACAGGAACAAGACAGAGCAACGTGATCAGGAGAGATGGGGGAGAGACAGGAAATGGAGGGAAAAGAGATCAAGATATGAACAGAGAGACACACACATGAGAAGGGGTGGGAAGAGAAACACATTGAGAGAGAGAGAGAGAGAGAGAGAGAGAGAGAGAGAGAGAGGCAGAGAGACACACACCGAGATGGAGAGACACAGAGAAGAGGCAGAAAGAGACAGAGAGAGACACACAGAGAAACAGAAAAAGACAGAAAGAATGGGAAGGGGAGCAGCCCAGAGAGAGGGCCACAGAGCAGGTCAGAGCCACAGGGTGAAATGCAGAGACAGGGCCAGGACGTGAGAAGGAGGGTGCAGGGAATCCAAGGCCCGGGTGGAGGCCGAGGATGGTGCAGACAGAGGACAGAATGTGCAGGTCATCGTGGGACCCGGCTCAGGCCTCCTCCCTGCCCCCTCTTCCCAGGCAGCAGGCAGTGGGCTCACCTGGCAGCCAGGAACAGGATGCAGCTGACGGCCAGGTAGGCAAGAAGCATGAAGAGCCACACAGCAGGGGAGAAGGGGTCCAGGAAGGAGAAGTAGCCAGGCTTGCGCCCCTGTGGGGAGAAGGAGTGAGACCCTGAGCCAACCTGACCTGAGCTGAATGCCAACCCCTGCTCCCCACCACCAGCGGCCCATGAGCCCAACTGGCCCTGCCCAGGTCCAGCCCCTGCCTCCAGCCTCCATGTCTCCACGGGAACCGTACCATGTGCACTCGATAGAGGATGCTGATCCCCAGGGTCATGAAGGGTTTGGAGAAGTCGATGACCTTTTTCCCGCTCCGCTGTGATGGTGAATGCAGCCACAGCCAGGTCTGCCTTCTGCTGAGGGGAAGCAGGGCAGGGCAGAGGGGTGGGCAGGGAGACAGACAGGCAGTCAGGGAGAAACGCACGGAGAGCAACTAAGAGAGAATATCAGAAGCCGAATGAGGCCAGGAGCGAGGACAGGAGGGGGCAGGAGCCTGGACCCTTGTCACCTCACATCTGCTGGAAGAAGCTCCTGTGGCCTGTTTCCTGCCCAGCTGCCCTGCCCCTTTTAGTCCTTCCTAACCCCGTCAAGTTCATCACTAACGTGCTGCTTTATAAAACCTGCTGCTGACCCTCACCCCCTACTCCGGGGTCCTGGAGAGAACCTGGAATTGGAGTTGAGATGCCTGCACACCGACCCACTCAGGACCCTCTGGGGGCCTTGGCTTCTGCCTTACTTCAACAGGCAACATCTGTCACATGCTTCCTCTGTACCAGGCTCCATGCAGACAGCACTGCATAGAGATCACCCATGTACTCCTCCCACCAGCTCCCTCAGGGCCACTACTAGCCTGTTCTGTGGATGGGGAAACTGAGTCTCAGAGGGGCAAAGGCACTAGCGAGTAGAGGCAAGAGCTATGGCCTCTACTCCCCTGCCCCTGGTGGACACTAGCAGCAGGTTCAGTGTCCAGCTCAACTCAGATCCTGACTTTGGGGGAGTGGAGCTGGGGTCCAGTTCTGATGTGGGGAAGGGTGGGGGTGGGGCCGGGTGAGACAGAGAGAAGGTTGGGGCTGGCACACCTGGAATCCCTGCTCCAAAAGGGCCATCTCGCTCTGGCTGAAGTGGACATTAGCTGACCTTTGGCTGTGGGCAGACGCAGCTGGGAAAAAACCTGGCACTTCTCATACCCTCCCCTCACCCCCCAGACACACACACACACACACACACCCTGCACATGTGAGCACCGTGCACAGTCACGTCTACACCAGCACAGTCATGTCTACACCACCACCACTGTGAGCTCAGCATGCCACACCCACACAGGCTGGCCAGTGACGCACCGCCCACACTGACGCAGGCAGAT